CCCCCCCCCCCCCCCCCCCCCGCCAAGTCTCGACCCAAACTACTTCCCCCACCTACGTCAATTGCACCTCGCAAGTATAATTGACTTTAAAGTCAAAATTTTTGACTTTATACTTGCAAGGTGCAATTGACGTAGGTGGGGGGAGTAGTTTGGGTCGAAACTTGGCGGGGGGATTTACCGGGAGGTTAGGGGGAGTAGGAATCATCAATTTCATGAATGGAGCTCCGTAGGGGGTAGTGGCTTCCATAGCCACTGGATTCCAGTGGCTCTAGAACCGGCCTCTAATTAAATATATATACGCACACAGATGCACGAAATAATATGTGCTAATGTGTGACCTTCGTCTTCAAGCTAAGTTGCTATTGTGGGGTGCAATTGACGGAGGTAAGGGGTGTGTTCGGGTCGGGGCGGCGGGTTTACCGGGGGTTAGGGAAGGTAGGAACAGTCAATTTTACGAACGAGGCACCGGAGCACCCCGGGTCATCCCATGACATTAGAACCCCACCCTTGAAAATATTATAAATGATAAATCTAATAAAATAGTTTTTATGTCAGTATATAATATCAATTTTATTTAATTAGTGGCTAACATTTATCAATTTTGAATATAAACGGTCAAAATTGAAAAAATACTCTGGGACGGAGATAACAAAGTATCACTTAGACTCAGATACCATGTACTCCGTAGAAAATATTAAAGAGGAAAAGATTTCTTTGAATGTCTTAGAGATAACAAAGGTTCAACCCTCTTTATCCTCGTACTCTATTTCTTTGGTACTCACTACTCAGTATATTTTAGACAATTTATCACAATTTTTTTTGCCAAATATGAGAAGTGGACAACTAATTCCGGACAAATTAAAACAAATACAACATACTAGTAATTATTTCCTCTTCTTTGATGCTCTCTTGTGCTTCTGGTGGAACTGATCCCTTCCCCTCTTCTTTGTTTCCTTCTGAATTGATTTGTTCACTAAGGATGGCTGTTCTTTTAGAGCAAAGCTCTTTGCAACATGTCCCAAGTGAAGTTTCTTCACCATGAAAATTCCCTTCAGCTCTCCGCGGTGCGCAGTGTACGCGCGCACCCACGAGCAAAACGCCTTCTTCGCCATTTTCGCCATCTTAGCCTGGTGACATTTAGCACATAAAAAAGTATTAGATAATCAGTTGTCGGCATGACTGTTGGGCTACAACGGGCAGAGTTGAAAACAGCAACGGATTGTTGCTTACAGTATTTGGCAAACAAGTGATTAGAATTCCGCCAAAATACCCCTAAAGAGCATTATAGGCTTGTTTCCAACAATGGAAGACACAAAAGCCAATTACAATTGGGTTTTTTGTCAATTCACCTAACCTAAATTCTTGCATTTGCGGAGTGCTTGGGATGGGTGGACAACTAATTTTGGGTGGAAGGAGGATATGTTTAACCAAATTGGGTGTCTTTTCCTTTTCTTTCCAAGCATCTATATGTATAACAACAAACCCTGTTAAAATCCCACAAGATACTAAGCTCCGGAGAGAGTGCATAAATGCAAACCCCTACTTGGAGGTAGAAAAGTTGTTTTCAAGAGACCCCTGGCTCAAAAAGCACATGCAAAGCAAACGTAGCACTAGACCAAAAGCACAGAAAGCAATCATGCGCTACCCAACTACTCTAATCCTAACTCTCTAGACACTCATATCCTAGATAAGGTCATGAAGTCCTAAGCCATGTCTAGATTATCTACCCTCCGAAATCCTTCACCAAAAACGAGCTTAGAAAACTCCTCGAAAAAATATGTAAACATTATGAAATGAGAGATGCAATGCTATCTTGCCTCGTTGGTGACAAAGGACTCCAAAGCTTTCTGCAAAAAAAGTGACCACGGGTGCATCTCAACCGAAACAAACTTCTTCGACAAGCGCTTAGTACTGGACACGGGGAAGCTATCCAACAGTTTAAGAAGGGGATACTCTGTTAGTGTAACTCCATGTTTCTCCAAGTCTTTCAAGTACTCAACTTCAACTGGCTGTAGAAATAGTATAGAGTCGCCTTTTTCCCCCAATCGAGCAGTTCTTCCCACTCTGCATTGAGACGTTTCTATATTTAGTACTCTCTAAGAACTAACCTTTTATATAATTTGAAAAAAAAATTATAAACAAGTTAAATATGATAAACTTAGTTAAACGAATAAAGTTTTTTGGGACATGAGTATAAAAGTGCAGTATAATCATTACTCATTCTACCATCAGCAGTGACAGAATTTTATGACGTATCAGAATCGTATCAAATTCATCCACATACATATACCCAATCAGTCTGAAATTTTACCTATGAACATACTCAGTGGCCTCACCAGGAGAGTCATACTGTATAATGCACCTAACTTTGGGGAAATCCAGACCCCTAGCAGCTACATCAGTGGACACAAGCAGAGCTGATTTTTCTGTTTTAAATGCATTAAAGGTAGACCTACGGTCTTCGTGATTCATATTACCATGTAACCGAAATGTTTTACAATTCAAAAACTTTAGCTTGGCATCCGAATCTGATTGATAGCTCGGATGCCACTGAAAATCACCCAACAGTGAATAGTGAAAATCTACAGCATCACATGTGGAAAAAAACACCACTATCTGCAAAAAGAAGTGCAAATGGTTGGAAAAGGAGCATAGGAATACTCCCTCTATTCACTTTTAACTTACCATTATGACTTCTGTGATACACCAAAAGTTGAATGAATATAGACATACTTCGTGTCTACATTCATTTGTTTTTCAATGTATCAAGTAAGTCATAATAGTTAGTTAAAAAAAGACAGAGGGAGTACCAAATAAGTCACCATAAAGTGAAGATTTGTAATTACAATATTTCCTAACCTTCTGGGAAGAAGCTTCCTTCTCAAACAGGTGTTTTAATATTGAAAGAAGTACTACAAGACGATTACCACATGGAACTGAAAAAAGAAAAGAAGAGAACATTAGGATAATACAAGGAGTGATTGAACTCAACACACAACTTTTTCATGTCAATTAGAGTCTGTTTGAGACTTGGAAAATGTTATGACAAGAAGATAGAGAGGAAATTGAATGCGAGTTTAGAAGGGGGGGAATTTCAGGGGAAAATTAAAGGAGACATTTCGGACAATGTTTGAGCTTAGGGTAAATAATGAACTAAATCAAATCAACACACTAAACTTCTCTTTCTTCTTGCTTTGTATGAAGTTTCGGACAATAAATAAAGCAATGCCTGAAGGTTCTAACAAAAAAGACCTCTCTATTTTTACAAGTGTAAGGTTGTCTACATCTTGACCCCCCCCCAAAAAAAAAACCCCAACAGAGTTGGGATTATACTGAATTTGTTGTTGTATAAAGATTATTAAGTCTAATATATGCAGTTAAAAAATTGAATTAAATTCTTCTTTGTAATATCAAAGGCAAAACAAATCAGAGAAATAATATTCCTTAGGATTTTGTATTTCCCTACCATTTCCCGAGTTCCAAACATAGCCTTGAGAAAGTACCTTTTATATATCTTTGGAGAAGCTGAGATGGAACTTTATATTCCTCACTGGAAGAACTCAATAATTTTCGAGATGTTCCTAATTCAACATCTACGCTTGTTTCAATGTCTTCATCGTGATTCCCTTTTTTTTCTGACTTCTTGTCATCAAGACCAATCATTACAGGGTTCTCTAAACTCATTTTAGCAAGATGGTTTACTTTCTCATTTAATGTTGCGGACAACAGCAAATTTTGTCTCTGGACGTCAAGACCTCGGAAACTAGAATTTTCCTGGCCAAGCGAGTTATATTGGGTTGAACCCAGTATACTAAGTATCTCTTCAATGTCTTTACCGAACCCAAGTTCCAAAATGCTGAAAATTGGAAAGATACATTGAAACAAACCAAAGTTGAAAAAAAAAAATAGGAAAACTTGGTATCGCCAGCTCATGCTTAAAACAATATTTCACTTTCAACCCATGTCTTATTTTCTTTGACTACACACCATAGAGCTCTCCAGAATGGGGTTGCAAAGCCAAATACTGGGGTACACATGGGGTGCAAAAACAAAAAGTTAGACATTGCACCCCTACATGGTGCGCAAAATCAAATGTTGGAGTAGACGAGTGCAAGTTAAAATATCCCCCCAAAAAAACCTGACACTAAGTATCTTCAAACTTTCCTTTTTCATCAACCCCAAAATTATCCCTCATTTCCTTTTAAGGAAAATAAAATGATTCACAAAATTACTCTCTCTTAATAAACTTCAACCACACAATTTGATTTTCTTATAGCCATGCCCAGTCAAACCGGGCAGTCATATAAAGGGATCAAAGGAGTACTTGAAAGGGAAAGTAGATGAATATTTAAGCAACACACCTATCCGCTTCATCAAAAATAATCCACCGCAAATTCTTGTGTACGAACGAGGATGTATTTCTAAGATGATCTAAAAGACGCCCAGGAGTTGCAACAAGAATTGATATACCTGGAAATGATAATTTGCCAGAAACTACTACTGTCAAACCTTAATGGCGGAAAACATCAAAGGCTCTCAAATTGCAGTAGCATATTTTAATTTTTTACCTTTACGCAACCTGGCCTTCTCCTTTGCGCGGTTTTCCCCGCCCATTATATATCCAGGAACAATCCAATGGAAGCGGTGCAACATTTTCTGCAAAATTTCATATACCTGAAGGCACAATTCATGCGTTGGTACAAGAACCAACGCTATCAAGGGAACTCCAGTTATGATCGGCAATGACAAACCATCTAAAGTGAGAAAAAGATACTGAAAGAACTATTTTTTTCATCATTAGGGTTGTGAGCAAGTCAAACTATCCCTCACCTATTTTAGATCAACTCAAAAAAAATATTCAATTTGGATTCTGTCAACCCAAGCCCAAGCTTGAGGGCCACTCTAGTAAAAAATCTAGTTTAGTACTTGTCTCAAGCAATTTGCGAGCCTAATAAAGTGTTTCGATTATGCTCCATCACAATGGTTTTTACCAAGTTTGACTTGGTACATGATTACTTGTGGTTGAGTTTCTTTTTAGCCGGGGATACCCCGGAGGGAGACAAGGAGTATGAACCATAAACCTTTTCTCTTAAAATGAAATGGGTATAGTTATTTGGGATGGACAAAGAATGAAAATGGACAAAGTTTTTGGGACGAAGGGAGCAATCTCTTTCATATATTTCCACTGTTCTTTTTCATATATTTCCTCATAATTTAGCTTTGCATGTCAAAGAGTAGGCATAACACCTCCTTCATTTGAAGGACCAAACTATATATTTAATTGTTTTAAGTTCTATGTTGTACCCCTTAGACTAAGAAAAGTAAGCGCGTGATTCAAAACAATATCCTGTTCCATGTTTCTCTTTACAAAAAAATGCAGAAGAAACCCGGCCATTACGGACAAGAAGCCATGCCACATAGAATACGCCATATCAGATAATAAAAAAGAGACATCAAGAAGCCCTTCCATTTGTTTTCTCTTTCACTAGCAGCAAGAGTTATATATGTGAGACTAAAGAATGACTAGATCTTTGATCCAACACTTCAACATATAATACATACCAAAAGTACCATCAGAACGTTGAATCTTAGGTTCACATTTCTGCAACTGGTGAATAACTGGGGCCAAGTATGCCACCGTTTTCCCTGTCCCGGTTGCTGCATTCACTAGCCTGTACATTATAAACATAACATATTGAAAGGTGGAAAGAACAAAACTGGAAAGAAAAACTTGTGAGCAAACTAAAATGGAATTTAAAGGAATAGAATCAAATAAAAAGTGGAAAGAGAGAAGTACACATGTCGACCAGATAGAATAACAGGAATTGCCTGAGCTTGAACAAGAGTTGGATCCTGAAAACCCAGCCTCTCTGATAAAAACACAAGAAGGGTACTACTCAATCACATAACTTAAGACAACACAGAATGAATCGATTAACGTAGTGGTTAGCAAAGAGAGCACCTTTGAGCTGGTCACATAATGTTGGGTGAAGACCCAGACTAGCAAACGAACACGAAGCGAAAACATCTGATTTTTTCCCTGCACTTTTGCCTTTGTCCTTGCAATTGTTTAAATCCATTTTTTGAATCTTGAGGCAAACTGAGAAGGAATGGACAATGAAGAACAGTGAATTCATGATTTGGAGGCCGGCAAGGCCAAAGGGGAGCTTGGGGAGATCACAGCTTGTACTTTTTAGGTATAGTGAAGGCAGAAAGAAATAAAAGTTTGGGCTTCTTTAGTCTGAATGTAGAATGTGAAGTTTGCCCTTAAATTTACACTTACCCGTCCAGTCCACAAGAAACCTAATAACAACAAAAATTTACAGGGAATAACTTGAGTTTCATGAACATTTAGAAAACAACCACAACAAATATCACCGAATATTTTTATGCCATCAAATATGGGGGTTGGTGTACAAAGGCCGATTTCAGGATTTTGTGACTATGAGGTCCCAAACTCTCGATCCTCCAAATTTCTGTCTCAAGAGATTTTGTGCTTTTTAACAGAAAACTTAAAGCAATGTTTGCTCTGTGAATAGTACCATAATCAATACGGAGTACTACGTAATAAAATCGTATAAAAATAATGTTATTTTACACCTGAATACTTCTAGCTTTCATATTTTCAATGTTATTTACAATATTTTAATTAGAGTAAATTCCCAAAATGGTCCTTTCTAATAAGATGTTTTCCCAAATTGGTCCTCAATAAACAATAATTACCAATAATCCTTTGTAATTGAGAAGTATTTCCTAAATGTTCATGAAATGACAGTTACATTGGGGATATTTTTATATTTTTAACATCTAAATTATGAATAAGCCCTCAAAATGGTCCTTTCAAATTAATTGGGTGGCCGCTAGAGGAACGAGTCCACCACGAGTAGGCTCATGTACTCCATTTCGGGAAAACAATTACTTGGAAATTATCATTTCGGGAAAATATTTAATTATAAAGTAGCATTTTGAGAACATATTTTAGATCTAGATGAGAGAAAATACCAAAATACATTCTATTTGATTGTCATTTAATAGACGCTTACCATACTGGTAATTATTGCTTATTGAGGACTAATTTGAAAAAATACATAATTAGAAAAGTCTATTTTGGGAATTTACTCTTTTATTTAAATATGGTTTTTTTAAAATCAGTACATCCTAATCTAAGAAAGAAATATTAATTACACATTTTGAAGTTACAATTTACCACGAATAATTATAAAATTGAGTGAACAAAATTAATAAGCAATTGAATTTCTAAATAGTAAAAATTACTAAAATACTCAACTAAAATGCGAAACCATAATAGATTCATGCTTCATAAATTAATTACCAAAATTCAAAATCAGCTAAAATTAATTACCATGGTGGAACACTAAAATTAATCTCACCTGGTGCGCCTGTACTGGAGTTTTGACGGCTTAATCCGGCGGCGACGGCGAGATGGTGGTGGCCTGGTCGCGGAACCGCAGAGGAAGGAAGAGATAGAGATGGGATTTAGGCTAGGGTTTGCCCTCTCTTCTTCGGCTTCGTATCATCCCGTCCGCGGAAGCCAAGACAAACTTTTTTTTTAATTTAGCAAAACAACGTCGTTTTGTAGGATGCAAAAAAAAAAACGAAGAAGAAAAAAGAAATATAAAGCCCAAATGTATTGCAATCCAAAATCTAAAGCCCAAAACTGATCAAAGAATTACTTCAGCCGAGTAGAGTAGGCCTACCCACAAAAGTTTCACATTTGCCACGATCTTTAAAAAAAGTAAAATTGAATTGTCAAAATTGATGAAGAGGAAAAAAAAGATTGTAAGTCAAAAAAAGCTTTGAAAAATTTTATCTGAAATACTCTCATCCTTACGTTGTTCTAAAAGTAATCTCATCTTTCAAAATTACGGAGTACGTGTTATAATCCCAATTTTTTGCTTGTGTGCGAGGTTTGGACCATTGTTACATCGTAACGGTGACCTAATGGTATTTTTGAAAAAATACATTTTTCACAATCAAATGAAAGACGTGTTTATTTTTGGTAAATTTTGATTTTTAAATTTTTAAAAATTTTAAAAATTTAAAATTATGTTTTTAAAAATATAACAGTACACTCTTGTCAAAGATTTGTGTTTGTGCTTTAAAAATGTAATGGTATGAAAATTTATAGTGTCTTTTGAGGTAAAAGTGTGTGATTGGAAAATAATATGTAGTGTCGTTTGAGAGAAAAAATATTATAGTAAGTTGTTAAAAAAATATATAGTGTCATCTCAAATAAAAGATTGTAGTAAAAAAATTGTGGCCCAGATTTTTTCTTATTGTTCATTCTAAAGAAAACAAATAGTGCGGTCCTCTATCAAAAAATACCCTTCTTCCCTAAGTCAGGATACCATTGTAACCCTAGTCAAATCGTCCTCCTCTTGGGCCGAGTCGAACCCGGTCTTCGGGAGGGCGATATTTGGGAGGGAAGAAGTCGGGCTAGAAGAGACTAGTGGAGAAGAGTTGGATCTATGAAAGAAGGCTCAATATTAAGGGTCTGTTCTTTAGGACTGAAAAAAAAGAGCTGGATGCTGGAAGAAACTAAAAAAAACTGGAAAGAACTGGAAGAACTGGAAGAAACTAGAAAGAACTGGAAAAAACTGGAAGGAACTGGAAAAAACTAGAAGGAACTCGAAGAAACTGGAAAAACTTCAAAAAATTGAAAAACCTAAAAAAACTTTAAAAATATTTATTTTAAATTCTTGTTGTTATAAATTATTATTATTATTATTATCACCATCATCATCATCATCATCATCATTATCATCATCATCATCATCATAATCATCATCACGTTATCTTAGTCAATGTCTTTAAGATATAAAAAAAAGTATTGTTATTTTTTATATACAAAAACTACTTTTGCAAAGAATAATTATAATATAAAGTTAGCATAAGTATAAAAATATTAAATTTTAAGAAGTCTTTGTAGTTATATTGCACCTCAATTTATTTATGCAGTATTTATTATAAATAATACATTTTTAATTATAATTTATATATTAAAACATTTTGTTTTAAATATCATACATGTCACATAATCAAACCTATTGTTTCTTTCATGATTGACATTTTATTTTCATTGAATTCCTATTTTTGGAATAAAGACATAGAACTTTTTTGTTTACATTTTTTATGTTTTACTCATATTTTAGTCTTTTTCTCTAAGCTCTTTTAACTTACAATTTTTTTTATAAAGAAAAATGAGCAATTTTTAAGTAATAAAGGGAAAACTGAGATGTCTTANTAATTATAATTTATATATTAAAACATTTTGTTTTAAATATCATACATGTCACATAATCAAACCTATTGTTTCTTTCATGATTGACATTTTATTTTCATTGAATTCCTATTTTTGGAATAAAGACATAGAACTTTTTTGTTTACATTTTTTATGTTTTACTCATATTTTAGTCTTTTTCTCTAAGCTCTTTTAACTTACAATTTTTTTTATAAAGAAAAATGAGCAATTTTTAAGTAATAAAGGGAAAACTGGGATGTCTTATAAAAAGTTATATTAATAAAACATTCAATGTAATTATTTTATCCATAATTTTTTTAGTATAATTTAACATATTGATGTTTTCCTGTTTTATCATGTAGACTAATATACAAAAAATGTCTTATTCATATTAAAAAGCTGAAAAAATAATAATAACTGTGAATCGTAAAAATAGTGAGATGAAAAAAATAATTTATAAACTATAGTTATGAATATAACAGTTGTAATAATAATAATAATAATAATAATCACATTAAAATATATCATTTTTAAAGTAACTGGTTGAGGAGTAGAAAGAATTTGAAGAAAATGAGAAAAATTGGAAGAAATTGGAAGAAACTGGAAGAACTGGAAGAAACTGGAAGTTAAGAGTTCAAGTCCTAAAGAACAGGCCCTAAGATGTAATACCCAAAAACATAGTCTAATTTTATGATAAAAGTATTTTTAAAGCTATGTTTTGACCCAGTAAAGTATTATTTATATGATTGACCAAAAATGAATGAATTTTTAAAGTTTACTTTGGTAATTAGGCTCGTGCGCAGTTTTTTATCCTAGACTCGATCTAGAATAATACGCTTAGTCCAACTAATTTACACAATCACAATGTATTTAAGGAGTTGCTTTAAATAAAAGAGCTGATATGAAGCACATGTGGAGCACAATTTACTTTGTGAAGCATCCAGCCGTATCTTAGTTAAAATATTTACTTGAGCAACCCCTACTAAAGATTCTCTAAAGCGGGTGTGAGGAAAGAAACAAGAAAAAAAAATTGACATTAATTAAAAATAAGAGAGAGATACGAGAAAGTGTGAAACTACTAGAGATGTTATTATGAATATAGTTTTAATAGTAAAAAACCTCGTGATCCATCAGCATCAGTGTGACTCTTCATATAAGAGGTCATATACTATTTTTAATAGATAATCGGTGCTAAAACATATCCTTTAAATAAATAAATGTTTACGCCCTTTGTTCTAGATTAATCGTCTCAATTCGATATTCACGAATCTATTTCTTCTTCTTTCTAAACTTATTTTTGTTAATTATTTTTTTGAATAACGTAGTCATATTTATCGCCTCTTATGTTTGAAGTGTTTTGTTATACTCCCTCCGTCCCGCTATATTCGTCCACTTTTGACATTTAGAACTGTTCATTTAAGCACTTTGACTCATCAAATTCTCTCAATGTGTAAGCCTAAATATAGTCATGTGTGATCTTGTTTGATTTGTCTTAACATATAGATTATTAATATTTAATTTCTATAATTTTTTAATATACAAATTACAAGATAAAATGGAATAAAAAAGTGCATTGGATGGTGTGCAAAAATGAAAATGGACAAATACTCTGGGACGGAGGTAGTATATTTTAGTGTAATTGTAAACTATGACCAATGGTATTCTAATAATTATCAAAGAAGTTTGGTGGTGCAGGGTGCACGCTTAAAATCATCAACTTATAAGCAGAGAGAAGTACTTACTTTATATAGACTTTGATATACTTTTTTATATATGAATTTTATTTTAAAAATTTATCATTATGTAAATAAATTGAATCGAAAATAAACTAAGACTAGTCTCGTTATCCACACAAAGAGAGTGTTATTCTGAATAAATCATCCAAAGTAGGAATAAAACATACTCCGTAACATTTATCTTCAAAATAAGAGTTCCATGTTTTTATATCCAAAATAGAAGTTTGTATAGTATTGCGACCATGTAGCACTGTATATTGACAATTTACAATGTTTTTGGTGTTGTATATTGATATTATTAGCATTGTAACTTCTGTTTTGGCAATAAAAAAACATGAATCTAATGTTTTGGTAATTTCTTCATGTTTAACTCATATTTTAGTATTTTTCCCTTATTCTAGAGAGAGTATAAAAATTTAATATACCAATATATATGTTAAACTAAGCGCAATTATATTAAATTTACAATATATCTTGATATATTTTCTCCGCTATTTGTTTTCAAAAATAGTAAAGTTTGATAAAAAAAGTTAAGTTATATTAAAAAATTATTGGGATAGAGGTAGCATGCTATAAGGTTTCGTATAACTAATATATACGTAAAGACATTGTAACGGTTCGCCGTTCGTATTGGGACTCCGCAACACTCAACTTGGGTCCACCTATAGAAACAACATTGTTTTATGTCATCAAGAGATTAATGAAATTAAGGAAATACTCGGTAACTTTGATCAGAGCGTAAAATCAGTTGAAGATGAAGGAAGTAAACTGGAAAAATATCATTTAATTCTATTTTAAAATTTCACTAGTGTATCAAGTTAAGATTCTACATATTCTATTTTAATTTGAAATATATTTTCAATACTATATGATGATTTTTTTGTGTGGTCCTTAGATCCATATTCATTCTATGAATATTAAATAAAAAATGATACTCTGTAATACATATTAAGCTTTATAATAAAACAAAAATCCAACCATGAGTCTATGAAAAATTTATGGGAATGTCCGCATTTCACATATGAACCTTAAAACCACAATAACACAATTCTATTCACATGATTAAATATTAACATTTGTTGCCTATTTTTATTACTTATTTGATAAAATAATATAGTCATATTATTTGTTATTTCATATTACTTTGATGAGAAAAAGACCGAAATAAAATTAAAACATAAGAAAAAGAACAAAATAAGACCGTTATGTTTTTTCCTAAGATAGTTCTATAAAATAAGATGTGACAAGCATGTGTATTTTATTTTATTAAATGGTCAATAAAACAAACAAACAAACAAAAGTTATCTTAAAGTTTTAATAATAAAAACATAAAATATTTTAGAAAAAAGAGTAAACTCTATAAATGGTCTTTAATTACATGTTGTTTTTCATATTTAGTCTATAATTCTTAGATATTATATAAGAGGAATTTACTTAAATAGCACTAAAACATAATGACTTTCCCTAAATAGTACAACATGTGTTTTTCTTCCCAATGTAGCACTTTTAGTCATTATTCAAGTAAATATTCACCATTATGGACATTATTAAGTGCTATTTAGAGAATAAAACATTTTAAGTGCTATTTAGGGAAATGACTTAAATTTGAGTGCTATTTAGTGCAAATATTTCATTACATAAATCATCTTCAATTTTTAAAAACTATTCCACAAGTGGCCATTCATGAATTATTTGTGGAAAAAATATCTAGTCCTATTTCCCCTAAGGAATTATTTATAATACCTCCGTCCACAAATAAACTTCTTGTTGCGCGTTACAATGTTTGACTGAAGTTATTTTCAAACCATTTTATATAAAAAATGGTGTAAAGTTCAAAAATAAAAATTACATATTAAAAACTACTACCTCCGTCCCGTTGTCTTTGTCCAGTTTTGACTTTTGGAACTGTTCATCTAAGCACTTTGACTCATCAAATTCTCTCAATGAGTAAGTCTAAAAATAGTCATGTGTGATCTTGTTTGATTCGTCTTAACATATAGATTATTAATATATAATTTTTATAATTTTTTAATATACAAATTACAAGATAAAATGGATTAAAGAAGTGCATTGGATGGTGTGCCAAAAGGTAAGTGGACAAACACAGTGGGACGAAGGGAGTATATCAAAAGATCTACAAAACTTGAGGTGACATGACTATATTATTTTATCAAATGAGTGACGAAAATAGATCAACAAAGTGAATAAAGTTTGACCATGTTAATAGTGAATGTGAAGTTTATTTATGGACGGAGAGAATAGTTTTAAAAAAACGAAGGGTCATTTATATAATATCTTAGAATTTTTCAAGTGTTAAAACAAACATTTTAAAAGTTACATGCACCTAAATAATATCTTATTACATGCAGCTAAGGTCTATCATAGACTTTCATATATCTTAAATAAGCATTTTTCAATTGTTGAAATAAGCATTTTAAAAATTTTTAAAAAATGCGAGAATGTAAGAAGATCAGACCTTAGGTACACCAAACAATTCCTCCAGTTTGGAGGAGTAAGGTCATGTTATCTTCATCTAATTTAATTGAAATAAATTCTAATCTGATTTAAATATAATTATGTTCGAAGTAATTTTTTATTTGATCTAATTCTAATAAAAATAAATAAAAAATAAGTTGAAGGAGGAGATGGTGTAAAAGTCGTGCGGGGGAGGGGATGTGAGGTTGAGGACCCACGTGGGGGCATACGGCCAAATGTCTCCAAAGTCCAAACGTAACGTACCTTCTCAATGCTCTGCCATATGTATCTCTCCTCTTCTTCTTCACCACCGCGTGTCCTCTCCCACACACCCGCCTCTTCTTCTTCTTCATCCTCCTTCTTCTTCACTCTCGAGCTCTCTGGACTATGCTGCTCCACTCCTATAAATGCAGCATCGCGATACCGGGCAATGCAACAGCAGTAGCCTTGCGTTGACGTCTCAGAATCAGCTTCTTCGAGCTCGAGATCCGTCAAATCGGCACCGCTCTGACCCTACCACCGACCGCCGCTCGAATTTCCGGTGATTGCATTGGTATGCGAAGGCCGCGTTTGGGAGATTAGAAGCGCCGCAGATTCGGAATCGGAGGGGGGGAATGGCCTCGTCGGCGATCTCGCCGCGGTTTATGTCGACATGCACGGGAGCTGGTTGCGGGTATGAGAATGAGAAGGTCGTGCTGGAGGAGTGCGGGTGGGGGTCTGCTTCTTCTCTTAGGTGCCGCAATGGCGTCCGTATCTGGAAAGGTGCAGGAAGGGTTTTGGCCAGCACCGCTCGCAATTCTGTTGGGGTTGTTGACAATGGTTTCGCTCGCCCCGGGCGCGGAAAATCCAAGGCTGATGCCCACGCTGGTAATCTCTATCTCTTGAAGTGTTTTTTTCAATTAGATTGGTTTCGGTTGTGTGTGTGTGTGTGTATGTTCTCTGAAAAAAAAGTCTGATTCATTGCTTGCCAATTGATTTCACACATTTCACAATTAGATCACCTTATATTCATTAAGCCCAGTGGATGCAGTTTGCATCTCTAATTGAAGGATATAATTGAGCTTGGTTTATCTGTTTGGTTTGGTGTCCATTGTTGATGGTAGTAAAGGTACAGGGCTTGAATTTACTGCTTCTCTGGAACAAGCAGCAAGTTCAAGCCCTTATTTGCTTGCATGGTGTGGAAGCTCTGCAGTGTGTGAGTGGGTCTATAACTCAAATGACTAGAACTTCTTGATTTTTTTTATTATCCAACAATCTTTCTATATTTCTGCCCTTTTATTTTATGAAATACTTGCACTCACTAAAACATAAGTCATTTCTCAATGTAGGACTTAAACTTTTTTATTCCCTAAATAACACTTAATAATGTCTAGAAAGAGGAATAATGTCCAATGGAACATTAACTTGAATAATGACTAATGAATAATGACTTAAAGTACTACATTGAAAAAAAAAACATATGATAGCTAGTAAGTTCATCATTACTATCCATTTTACCTACATGCCTAGGCTATTGTTGAACTTTGACACTGCAGGATTTCTGCCTTTGGATTCTCATCCACCTTCGGTACCTTGTCCTGAATCCCTACATTAAGACATGTCTGTACTTGTGTACTGGTTACTCGTATTAGGAACCCAACTCATTTATTGCATGCAAGTATCTGATGCCAGCATTTTCTTTTCTTTTTGGGCATTTCATTCACTGGCTATTCATTTATTGCACTGTGTCTATAATTTACTTAGTACTTCACTAGTGCAGTACTTCTCTTTTTCGTTTTGAGTATCCGGTTCACTTGGCTATTCTTACACATTGTCTAGTCACTTTAGCTTTTGTGCCAAATGAGAGATGCCATTTTTTCCTTATCCAGCGGGTCTATAATTTACTCTCCTAGACCCTTGGGATTGTTTGCTAGTCAACCTTTCTACATTTCTTTTCATCTCTTTTATGTGCATCCAAATGATAACCATTAATTATATCCACTTTAAATGCATAGTCTGATAAGTTTTGACGATTCGGGCGTTCTGTCTTTAGATTCTCATCTACCTTTAGTACTTTGTCCCGAATCCTTACATGACAGACATGTTAGCATTCAATGCCACAACCTTTCTTTTCTTCTGGGTATCCGGTTCACTTGACTATTCTTCCACAATGGCTAGGAACTTGTGGTTTTGGGCCAGATGATGGATGCAGTTTTTGACATTGAATATCTATTCGGATGGCTGTGCATGATTATTGTAATTGAAGCATAATGGGCACCTGTTAACGATCATGTCTTCTCGTTAAATCTTTATTACTTGCAAACTTAATGCTGACATGTTCAGTGCACACACGGTTTGGTCTAGGGGAGGTGATGGCACCTGTCTTGCAACCTGTTCAGGAAGTTGCTACAAAGAAGAAACTGCCCACCAAGGGAAGGCGAGTGGTTGTGACTGGGATGGGTGTTGCAACACCTCTTGGTCATGAGCTTGATGTGTATTATGAAAACCTGCTTGAAGGTGTTAGTGGCATAACTGATATAGAAGCTTTTGATTGTTCCCAGTTTCCAACAGTACGTGCTGTTCAATTTTTTTTTTCCAATAGAAAGTTTGTATTTCAGGGCCTCTGGTTTTGATGATTTTTATTGAATTTAGAGAATTGCGGGAGAGATCAAATCCTTTTCGACTGATGGTTGGGTTGCACCTAAACTTTCAAAAAGATTGGACAAGTTCATGCTTTACATGTTGACTGCTGGGAAGAAGGCTTTGACTGATGCTGGAATTAATAATGATGTGATGGAAACACTAGACAAAACAAAATGTGGAGTTTTGATCGGGTCTGCAATGGGTGGAATGCAGGTAGCCCCTTAATTCATTTACACTTGTTTTCCTTTTAATGTATTCACACCACCTTTTGATATAGTTATTCTTGGGCATTTGTTACAAACTTAAATAAGGCTCTTAACACGGTCAAACTGCAAGAATCTACACCGACTCGCCTAGAAGGTTTTCTTATTTTCATTGGCGAAATTCCACCGTTGGTTCTTTAAGTTTTTGCGTCACAAGTCCATGAATAGTCCTTCAAGTCACGTTAACATTGCACGATTGGTCCTTCCGTTAAGTTTTCCGTTAGTCCATGCATTTTCCCCATTTTTCATGATAAACACACGTGAGGAACCCTCTCTTCTTCGTACAATTGAGTCATATTTCATGTAGATCCATTTTAATTAAAATGTTACGTAACAAATTAACCTTGATTGACTGCAAAAAGTCAAAACTTGATAAACACTTTAATATGGAGTGTGTATCTTTTCAAAAAAAAAGGACTAATAAAAGAAAGAATAACTTATTATTATTAAAACAATGGACTAATAAAAGTAAGAATAACTTCTTATTATTTAAAAAAATAGGTTATATTTAATATTGTTCAATTGTATGAATAAAAGAGGTTCTTCACGTGTATGTATAATGGAAAATCAAAAAATGCATGGAGTAACGGAAAAATTAACGGAAGGACCAACCCTGCAACGCTAATGTGACTTGAAGGACCATTCGTGAACTTTATAAAGTTGAAGGACTAACCGTGCATAACGCAAAAACTTGAAGGACCAACGGTGGAATTTAGCCTATTTTCATTATAACTGTTGTTGTTTTGGGTTCAAATTACATAGTTTGGGGCTGTATTGAGTTTGTAGCTGTGTCTAAATTCAGTGAATAAAAAAACTCCTCTTATCTAAAACCAAATACATATGGAGACTAAAACTAAACTGAGCCCAATACAAAGTTGAGGACAAATTTGAGTCGAGGAACTAAATAAGAAATTAACCTTTATTACTATTATCGTTATTCTTATTATTATGATAAAAAATGTGAACAGGTTTTCAATGATGCACTAGAGGCTTTGCGTATTTCATACAAGAAGATGAATCCTTTTTGTGTTCCTTTTGCTACTACTAATATGGGCTCTGCCATTCTTGCGATGGACCTGGTTAGTGAAAATAGATGTTTCTTATTAACGACTCCAAGTGTATGTTAGTGCCAAAGAAAGAGCATGTACGGATCCCATGAAGTGCCTCTTTGCAAACTTAACTGCAGGGTTGGATGGGGCCAAATTATTCAATTTCAACCGCCTGTTCTACAAGCAACTTTTGCATATTGAATGCTGCTAACCACATCATTAGAGGTGAAGCTGTAAGTATCCATGTCTCACATGTTATAGTGCTTTGGGGTCTGCCATTCTATAATTATATTAGTGCTGTTGAAGCACATGTTATGACGGACTAGTTTTTTTTCCCTGGATCATATAATGTTGAAATGTTCAATTGTTTGAGTATTGCAGGATGTGATGCTTTGTGGTGGATCAGATGCACCTATCATCCCAATTGGTATTAAATCATGGTCTTGAAGTTATCAATTTTATTTAGCTTCTAGTGCTGGTTAATCTATTCCATTTCCTCTTGTAGGACTGGGTGGATTTGTAGCATGCAGGGCGCTTTCACAGAGAAATGAAGATCCTACTAAAGCTTCACGACCTTGGGACAGTGTAAGGTTCTCGATTCCCTTGTGTTTGTGTTTATGTTTATTGTGTTTGTGTTTATGTTTCTGTCGAAAAATGAATATATTCCCCGTGCTTTAGGAAAATTTCTACAACTTCAAATGAGGTGCAACCAAAACCTTAAGTTTCCATTATTTTGTTAGAGTTTGGGTTAAAATCACAACATATACATTTTAATTAGGGTCGTGATGGCTTTGTCCTGGGGGAGGGAGCTGGTGTTTTACTCTTGGAAGAACTTGAGCATGCCAAGGTAAAGTTAGGCATACATTTCAATTCCCATTTTATTAATTTATTCATGGATAAAAATCAATAGAAACCCTTTCACCAGTTAGTTTTATTGAAGAGTGCTTCTGTTTTCATTGTTTGAATGAGCAGAGAAGAGGTGCAACTATATACGCTGAATTCTTGGGTGGAAGCTTCACTTGTGATGCATATCACGTTACAGAGCCTCATCCTGATGGTAATGGTTATAGCAAGAAGCCAAGAACAATAAATTAAATGTATTTAAAAAATGTTTAAACAATTTAAGTGTAAAATTTAATTAGCCTAACAAAAGAATTTTAAAATATAGCTAGAATTAAAAAGTTGCACCTTAGTGAAACAAAACTTCTTTTTTGGGGGGTGGAGGTAGTAACTTGCAGCTCATCCACAACTAGGAACATATGTGACACAGTGTTAAACATGCCACTTTTGCAAGAGCAGGCACTGGTGTTATCCTTTGTATAGAGAAGGCCTTGGCTCAATCAGGGGTATCTAGGGAAGATGTGAACTACATCAATGCGCATGCAACATCCACACCAGCTGGCGACTTCAAGGAGTACCAAGCTCTAGTTCGTTGTTTTGGCCAGAATCCGGAGGTAACTGTTGCAATAGCTTTTTTCAATCCCAAGGTGTTTAGTGGATTACATTAATTATATATAAACGTTTGTTTATAAATCTCTACCCGATATATGCAGTTACGGGTGAACTCAACAAAATCTATGATCGGTCACCTTCTAGGAGCATCTGGCGGTGTGGAGGCTGTAGCAACTGTTCAGGTACCTTTTCCCATTGATCTCATAATTTAGGATCTGTCCACTTGGGTGGTAACTCTTAACTTCCAACATTTTCAAACCCCATTTTGTTTCTTCCAAGTCCTTTCTGTTTTTTCCAACATCTAACTTTGCTTTTCCAACCCAAAAGAATAGAGCCCAAGAATATCTACATTCCAAAATTCTTCCCCAAGGTTCTTCTCTATTTTTTTGTGGGTTCCACATGCACACATCACTTCTTATTTTTACAATTAAAACAACTTTTAACTTCAACGCAAAGTTCTTCCAAGCACCTCAAAATGGCCCACATGTTACTCCATGAATTATTCATATATACAGTTTAAAAAACAAAAACAAAGGGAAGCCACGGTGCTTTAGGAAGCAACCATAAGTTCCAAAGGAATCCTTGTCATCATAAAAAACATTGCATAACTTCTTGGAGGCACCCTTGCATTTACCTTCTTTTTGAACTCTGCTTATGTCACATGTAAATTTCTTTGTTTGGTGTTTACTTCTGTCGCACATGTGGTGACTTTTTCCTGGTGACCAACTTGGCACCAACTGTGTAGGCAATCTGATCCAAGTAAGGTTTAAAATCTAATGAGCCATATCTAACATGAAATTTTTGCAAATAACTAAATGAATCTTAACCTTTATACGGGGTAATTGATAGCCTTGGTCTGGGGCTAAGGTTCTATGAAGGATCAAAAGAACTTACCAACCATTTAAAATTCAGCCCTGTGCTTAGGTTCATGTGCTAGTTTTTGTGTATGGTTAGAAAACTCTTTGCTTTTTGTTATAATATTATTATTTCTTGCTGAACTTGCATAGTGACTTTTTAAAACGGCCCTGCAGGCAATTCGCACTGGATGGGTTCATCCGAATATTAATCTTGAAAACCCCAGTAATGGTGTGGTATGTATCTCATGCTCGTTTATTTTTACCTATTTATGTTTGAGCTAACCAGTGGCATGATTTTTCCCATATTTAGACCCGTAGTATTGGTTTCTTGACCAAGTGTTAACTGATAATTTCTACTCTTGCCAAATCAGTGCTGGCAATTTAGTTTAGATGAACCCCACGGTTTGTTTGTGGCACCAGTTTTTTAGTGTCATAACTCATAATATGACACCGGGGTCATACGATGCTCCGTTAGGGCCCAAAGTGGTTCCTACCCCCTAACCCCCAACAAAAAACCCATATCCCCTCTCTCCTCCCCCAGAAGATGCGGAAATGCTTGGCATTTTTATGGAGGCGGGGGTGGGAATAGGACCCACATCGAGAGTTTGGGACCCAACGGAGCACATAGGGCCCTCAAATGGCGGGGTGTCCCAACACGACACCCATGCTTGGTGCCCAAAGATCTCTGCTCATAGAGGAAAGTATATAATGAACTACATGCTTGAGTCAAATCCAAATTACTATTGACTTTGTCATCTTCAATACCCCCCTTCTCCATGAGATGTGATACTATATCAAAAACCGGGAATCGATAACCACCACTTAGAATTTGATATCATTTGAACTACCATTGAAAGGAACATAAACTTGTAGTCTTAAACCATTCCCTCAACTTAATGACACTAATCTTTGTAGACGTTCTAATGGTTTCTACCCATCAAAAACAGGATTTGAAGTTCCTAGTTGGCCCTAAAAAGGAAAGGCTTGACATCAAAGTAGCATTATCTAATTCATTTGGATTCGGCGGTCAAAACTCATCCATATTGTTTGCACCTTACAAGTAGATGTTTGGGATGGATGGGCCTCAGTTGTGCTTTTATTATTCAGTGGAAAAAAGGTGAGAAATATGAAATCATGTGAATAGGTTAAGGTGATTGAAATCAATGAAGAACATCATACAATGCGCTTTTAGACTCTGTGTGAATTGTATAATTTGCGCTTGTATGTTTCCATTTGTGATTTGAACCATTATCAATGTTGATAATACCTGAATATCCTGTATTACCAAAATACCCTTCTCTTCTGTGGAACCTTTTGTATGCATTAGTGATTGCATTTTATGCCCTCCCTTCTTTCCTGTCCATGGTTCTGCACTCATGGGTAGAGAGAGAGAGAGAGAGAGAGAGAGAGAGTTCGAACTGTGAAGTCTAAATAACTGTAGTTAAGAGGTTGAAAAGGACAAATCTCAGGCTTTTTGTGCTTGTCAACAAATGCAATAAACTTACAAAAGGTGTTAGGTGACAGCCTAGATAGTGTGTTGTTAAACTTCAATTTAGGAGTTTTTTTTGTGACATTTACTTCTGAATTTTATTATAAAGTGCGTATTTGTCCACCCCGTTCTTTCAAAAATGCACTGCACCATTAGTCTTTATACATTTAATTAAGTGTAGTTTATGTTTACTGTCGAACTCATTAAAAAGTTGATGTTTTTCACTTGAACTTTCAAAAGTGCATTATTAGTTTCTACGGAGTATATTTTTTCATAATGTACATGTTTTTCCCTAAAATTTTTAAAAGTGTATCATCAGTCTTATGTTTTTTTTTGAATTGGTGTATGGCTGAAACTCTAAGAATTTAACGTCATTATTTTAATCAAATTTAAATAAAATAAAAAATAATAGGACTAATAGTGCGTTTTTGAGTAGCTTTCACATCTACGAAGTATTAATGTAGTAACTATTCAATCATATAATCTTAATTTTTTTAAGTGTAGGGGTGTGACTCGAATATATGATGTCTAATCTTAAAATCTCAAATATTATTAGAATAATTAATAATATTTGAGAAGTGTTCTCATCTAAGTGTGATTAGTACTATTAGTAAGGAAATTAGTATTAAGGATGTGATTAGTACTATTCGTAAGGCACACACAAGTTCTTAACCACATTAAAGTGTTGTTGGTAAATCCATTATTCAATTCTTAGATTCCCTGTCTTTTACTGTAATAGTTTATTCATTTCAACTTAACATTTCTTACTAAAGTTATTATTATTGGTTTAAAGTTAGAAAATAAAATTTAAATATTAAAAATTTACATAAAAAATTCAAAAAAATGCAAAATTACATGACAATATTATTATATTGAATGATCAATGAAAATATTTAAAAAAGAGAAAGATGTCATTTGTACAAATAGCACCTATTTCTGCAAATGGCACCTATTAATAAAAACAAACAAGTGTCACTTAGGCCTTTAATGCATGTAGCATATGCATTCATCCGGAGTGCTGTTCTCACAAATCACTGAAATCAGACCTAACTTTCAACCCATGTTCAAATTCTACAGTATTTTCTTGGATAGTTGAAATTTAAGTTATATATCTTAAACTATTCAATTAGTTGCAATTAGTTAATTTAAGTTGTATAAATTTCTCATTGATCACTGAGCTTCATTAGGTTGCAAAATTATAAATGCTTCGTCTTGTAATAAACACTAAAAAAATTGAGAAGAAATTAAATCAGACATGATCACAACAAACAAATGAGAAAATTACTCTCTCCGTCTTAAATTACTCCGTATATTGTTTGTTCAGTATTCACAAGTTTCAACTTTATTCACTTTCAATAACTATTTTGGTTACTTATTTTATAAAATAACAGTTATATCATCTCTTGTTTTAAAAAACTTTTGATCGATATAGTTTTTAAATATAAAATTTTTATTTTTTAATTCCACCCAAATCTTCAAATAAATTAAATTAAAAATAACTTCAATAAAATATCGTAAATAGAAATAGACACTATAAATTGGGTTGGAGGGAGTATATTTTAGGTCATAAATATTGGTGTAGTCCAAAAATTTATGCTCCATCCACCCTAGAAGAAAAATTTATGACATTTCATTATATTTATTTTCAATTCAACTTATTTGAAAATTAATTTAAATTTTAAAAAATACTCATGTAAAAACTATATTATTTTTATCAAATAAATATGGAATAATAAAAAGAAGAAAAGAAAGACCAAATGTAACCATATAGATACAATGACCTTATATTGAAGTATTGAACCTCATTAATAAAATTGCTTCTGGGAGACATATATAGACAACCATTATACGTAATCACGCAAATAGTCATTGTCTTTAGGCTAAACTTTTTTGACATTAGAACCTAATGTCATAATATGGCATCGAACAATTACAATATCGCATTCATAAAATTGATTGTACGTTCTTATTCCTAATCGCTTGCCTCCCACCACAATCCCGCGAATTAGGAGTAAGAATCATTTATTTTATGAATGAAACATTCTAGCTCTCTAACATCAATTTTCTTTTTTCACATCAATAATAATAATAATAATAATAATAATAATAATAATAATAATAATAATAATAAATCTTATTGTTTATTATTGTTTGGGGAGGAGCCGAGTAGGTTGACAAGGTAAAGGGCATTACTGGTAACCTTTGCCATGTTTCGGATCTTCCGTCTGACGTCGGACCTGACCGCCGCCGACACTTCCTTAAACCCGTCGAGGCACGTGTCCTCGTTGGTCAACGCCGCGCTGACCCAGGTCTCCACGTTGCTCATCTGCCACTCGAACTCCGCCCCCTTCCGGAGGTGCTTCAGCTCCGCCACGCTCCGCCGCAGCTCCTCCACCGCGTCCCCCATCTCCTGCACGCAGTCCCTCAGCGCCGCCCTCTCCCGCCCGCTCTCCCCCCTCACGCTCCTCACGAACTCCGCCGTCTTCGCCGCCCGGCCGAGGCTCACCTCGAGGGCGGCCTGAGCAAGGTCACGCGGCGTCTTCATGGCGGAGCCGCCGTACGAAGACAGCGTCCTGTAGCAGATCTCCGGGTAGCTGGCGTTCACGCAAGATTTGCGGACCAGATCGTTCGACGACTCTGGCCGCAGATTTTTACCCGCGGCGGCGGCGGCGGCTAAGGTGGAGAAGAGGAGGATTGTTTGTAGGACCGGGAAACGCGAACCCATTGGATCTGATTTATTTTTTCTTAGAAATAAAAAAACCGAACCAAATGTGAAGAAGCCAATAATGTGGGAGGAGGTGGGCAGATGAGGAAGCATGGCATGGCATTTATTGGCAACTCACTCACTCACTCTATACTAGGGTGTATTTTTTTTATATTTTTGGAGTAAGAAGAAAATAGAAAATAAGAAAAAAAATCTTATATTTTTATCTTTAAAATAAGATTTATAATGTCTATAATATCAATATATAATATCAAAAAATATTATAAAATATCAATATACTACTCCCTCCGTTCCTTTAAACTCTTCAACTTTTGACTTTTGGCAAAAATAAGGAAAGTGTAATTTTAGTTGACTTTCCAATTTTGCCCCTGATGTGATGGGTAAAAGTAAGATGTGATAATTTGGTTATTAGTGAAAAAGTATGATGTGATAAGTAGGGTATGAAAAAGTAAGGGTAAAAGTGATTTTTTAATAGAAAGTGGAAGTGTTTTAGGGAATTCAAAAAAAACGGAAGGGGAAGGATTTTGTGGAACGGATGGAGTATGTTACATTATTATAATACAATAGTCTTATTTTGGAATAAAAATATGTCACTTTTCTTTGAAAAATAATGACTATTTTTTATTCCTATATTTTGAGTATCTTTATTTTTGAATTTTGGTCATAACATATGTAAAAAACAACTTATAACGATATAAATTTAGTGTACAAATAACTTAATCCATTAAAATAAGAAAAAAACTTTTTCTAGTGAAGAGTGAAGACATATCACAAGAGAGCTAGCCACTAGGGAAAGCTAAGCTAAAGTGCTAAATGCTTTCACATATATCAAACTCCCATTTGGTTGGTTTGTAAAAGTTGCATAGGAAAGAAGGGAGGCATGTCATGTGCATTCTTGCAGAGTTTACAGGCGTTGTTGTGGCCCCTTTTATTTCCTGCATTAATTTCACTCCACACCCAACCAAAACTTTGTACATTTCTTCAACAAATAAAAAAAGAGTTCGATTTTATAAAGTTAAAAAAATGTTAAAAAAGTAACAAAATTATGTCTTGAATATATTTGTATGTGAGAGAAATAATGTGGATTACGTAATTTTTACTAAAAAAATAAACTAAGTAAAAATGTTTTTTGGGAGTTTAAAATGAGAAAATAGATATTATAAAAATTGAAAGAAATGGAATAAAACAACATAAGCTTACCCTAAAAAACGCCATAAACTTTTTATATGAAGGACAAAATTGTAAAGTTAATAAAATACAACTCACTTCTTTCATATGTGTGCCACTCCAAGTGGATAAAGGCTCCGTTTGACATTAACTTTAACATTTATACTACTAGCTTCATTGTTTGAATACCTATCCACTGGGGATTTTTACTCTTAGACCATTTGGTGTGGATCAGACCATTAAGCCCATCACGCTATTCCCCGGCCTCAATGACACGTCAACTTTTCTGTTTTGCATCACAGCCCATCACACCACCATCACACCATTCACACCATATGGGTGTGGATCACGCCCAAATTTTTTAATTTTTTACTTACTCCGTCCCAATTTGTAGTGCATGTTTACTATTTACATAGTCAAATTCTATTTACTTTCTTTCTCTATTTTCGTTAGCAATTTGATAAAATAAAGTACTACTGCCACTACTATTTTTATAAATCTTTTGATGTATTTTAATATGTAATTTTTATTTTTTAACTCTATACCATTTGTCATATAAAATGAATTGAAAATAATTTCAGTCAAACATCGTAAACCGAAACAGACACTATAAATTGGGGCGGAGGGAGTAAAATATATTTAAATAAAAATAACTTAAAAGGAAAGCATTAAATAAATATTTCATTAAAATTCAAAATTAAAATTACATTGACATAATATGAAAAAAGAAATAATTAAGAGCGACACGGTACGTATGAGATTGAAAATAAAAAACTACTTGATTAAAAAAATCAACGATCCCTGGCCAATTTATCCATCGCACTTCCAAGCCATTTCCGGCTAATTTTGTCCTTGAGAATATCCTAAAAATTGACGTTGCCACTCGAGGAATTGAAAATAATTAGGATCCATAATATGATTTCAGAAAATATTTAGAGAGATGAGAAAATTTTGTATGTGAAATAGGTAGAGAGAAAGTTCAAAAGAGGGTGATGGGATGTTTAAATAAAGGATTGAAAGAAAAATTAAATTTTAAAAAACTAGCTGTGGAAATGGCTAGTTTGGGGGAGGAAAGGGTCGTAATGACCGTGATGAGCATCTCCTCCATCATGTCACTGTTATGGGGGGCGGTGTTCCACGACGTGGTGGAGGGTGAGGTGACGCCAAGTGGCCATCACGTACGGCTCACCACGTCCACCCACACCCTTCCTTCTTAGCATTTTCAAAGTTAATCCGTAACCTTAAAGAATCATCCAAAATGCCAACATGCACTAATCACAAATGTTATTTCCAAACGAAGCCAAATTCCACATGAACTGGGGTATTATAATACCAACTACAGATAATAAAGTCATATTCCGTATATTATCTCACACAAAAAAGTACATTACATAGCATACATATAAACAAGCTTTTTGAATGGCCAACTCTGGTAGAGAAACACACATGCATACATACATACAACCTGATTCATTAGAGACTTTGAAGGAGCTTGAGTGTTTCATCGATATGTTTCTCGGGCTGAAACTGATTGTTATAGATGAGCTGGACAACTCCATTCTTGTCAAGAACGTACGTCTGTCGTCCTGGCAATGCCCCGAAAAGATCTGCAGGAACTCCCCATTCTTTCCTCACCTTTTCCCCTTCGTCGCTCAGCAATGTGAATGGGAGCCTATATTTCTTGGCAAAGTTCTGGTGCACACATTAAACACGAAGCAGAAAGCAATATCAGTTCACCTCATACTTATTAAGGGCTTCATTCATTCATTCATATTTAGCTGTTGTGGGATAATTCTAACAATTACGGTGTTTTTAGTTTTTAGTTTTAAAAGCAAAAAAGAAATACCACCTTGTGTGACGTTGTGTCATTGCTACTAATCCCAATAACCTCAGCTCCTGCTTTCTTGAATTTCTCGTACGAATCTCTGAAAGCACAGGCCTGCAAATCATTAAAACGGATCGATTACTTCGTGACCTAATATACTCATGGCCTTATAAATTAGATTGTATTTTTATATTTTGGTTTGGTAGTCACATTTTCCTACATTTTCTACAAGTGCACATGAACTTACTCCATACTCCCTCTGGTCCAAATTATACGAGTGACTTGTTTTTTTTGTTGGGAAAAGCTTGCTTCGATTTATTAACTGCTTAAAACCCCTTAAATTTATCGTTTGTTGTCATCTCATATTGCCTAACTTATGAACAAACAAAAAATGTAAAAAAAAAAGAAGAAAAGAATACACATCATCTGATATACAACAACAAACCCAGTATAATCCCAGGCGAAGTAGGGTATAGGGAGGGCGATTGTACACAGACGTTATCCCTACTTGGAAGAAGAGAGGGTGTTTCCAAACCTTATGATATAGTATCATACATCACATGATATAATTACGACATTTACTTTCAAGCCTTAAAACAACTCTACTGGCAACGCTCTCATGGTCTGAGCCCTAAAAATAACATGGCAACACCTCCTTCAAAAAATGGCTTTAAGACGCGCGACGAGATCTTGTTGTGCAAATAATAGGCATTCGCGCATCAGAGATGTGGGATTGTTTGCAGCAGATCTAGTTTCACTTCTAGTTCATTAGCAGATTTGTTCTAAGTTTCCTTTCTGCAATAGACTTCTACGTCTCTTGTCATAAAAAGGTGCATGAATGGGTGTTGATCTATAGTGCACACCCTAGCTTCCTCTAAAAAACATCTCAATTCCCCTGTGTTAGAATGGCAAGAATGCATAATTAACTATGCTAAACACATTCCAAGTTTTAATAAAGAGCATCCCACGGGCCACAACCGGGGAGAAATGATGCATTTACTAGCAAAACCAGGGAGCATAAAAATGACTCTTTTGGAGCAATGGACTTGATACGAACGAATGAGCGAAATCATAATAGATAAAAGGTGGACAATAGTTTGGGGGAGAGAGAGCCATGGTTACCTGCTTGGTGCACCCGGGGGTCTCATCGGCAGGGTAGAAATAGACCACAACAGGCTTCCCTTTGAACTTGGAGAGGCTCACATTTCTTCCCTCCTGATCTTTCAACGTGAAAGCCGGTGGCACCGTTCCTTTGGTCACCTGCAAACATTTTTTTTTTAAAAAAAACCCTATCAATAAACAGCCAATGGACCAGAAAACCCACTTAAAAATTGAAACTTTTTTTTGAACCAAGAGGAAAATTAGTTCGTCCAAGGCTGCACCTTGGCGAAAACGAGAGGCTTTAGCCTTGAGGAGTGGGTGGGGGTCGGGAGAGAAGAAGATGGGCGTCGGAATATGAGAGGGCAAAATGGGGATTTTGAGGGTTTGGTGGGAATGCCAAGGCTGTGAGAGAGGGAGGATTTAGGAGATTTGGGATGGAGCAAATGAGGGAGCTTGGCAGAAAGAGGGAGAGAAGCCATTTGTGGGATTGATTGTTTGACAAAGAAAGATATGGTGGAGTGCGAGCTTCCTTCCTTGCTTAGCTTGCAATGAAAATGCTGAAGATTATCTCTACCAGCTTTTATGATTCAGTGGTTGATGAGTGTGGATGTGTGGCTGTCATGAAAGATGATGTTTGAATGTTGCTATGGAGAGAGGTGGACAAGGTTTGTAACAAGAGAAGAGGAGTGGACTAGGTTCCGGTTCAAAACTTTGAGAGATGATGAACCGGACAAAAATTGTTGTGCCCTGCAGGATTTTGGTTCTAGTTTTCGTTTTCAACTTCAAGTTTTATCAATACTTTCAACTTTTCAAGTACCATTTTGATAATCTACAATATAGTTTACTGACATTCTTTCTAAAACAAGTATTTCTTATTTAAATCAAAATAAAAAAATTTATCCGGAACCAGGACTGCACCACCAGTACAGATTCCGATTGAGGTTTACCACAAGTTCCACTGGAGCCGGACCAGTACCATGTCCTAAAGGCATAATAAAAGAGAAGAGTGATATTTTGATGGTTCCAAGGTCCACATTTAAAATATGGACTTTTTAACATTTTTTATGAGCTTGCGTGTCAATATTTCGTTTTTGAAAAGGCTGCTTCTTTTATACTACAATTGTACTAAGGTTCATATAATAAACATGAACCTTAGGTTCATAGGAGAATTTGCAAAAAAAAAATGAATTTTATTTCAGAGAGCGCTTTAAAACCGGTCGGGCGGTCACATGAAAGTAGGAAAATTAGATTTTAATCACATCTAATGAAGCTTAACCTGCTATACCGGACAAAATCATGATGAACCGGCGGTCTAAACCCGGCTTAACCTGCTATACCTGTTCTATCTGACCCGGCCTGTTTACATGGTTGAAGGCGGTTAGACCCGTTGTCTAAAACCCTAATAATAATCGAATTGCATTTCTGCAAAAGTGATATTAGTCACTGTAATTGTTCCTTAGCTCTCCCTCTCCTCATCAAAGCTCGCAGCGCTTCCAACCATCCATGGAGGGATTCCAGAAAACGGTTCGCGATGCCATATCGCAGGATCCAAAGGCCACCTTAAGCTCAATCTCCTCCTTCTTTCAGAATTCAAGCCTCAACTCTTCTTCAACCTCTGGCTCTGCGAAAATCTCATCTACCGATCACTCTCAGCTCTTGCTCTCTCGTCCCCCCAGGTGAAGATTGCTTTTTTCTTTTCCTAAGGTTTATTTATATTTTCACTTACTTTTATGCTCTGTTTGGATTGAGGTTTTAAGTATCTTCCATGGTTAACTTGTGTGGGTTAAGTCTGTAATTTGGATGGCAAATGTAGAGGGGATGGTTTGAACTATTGGACTAAGAACCTCTAGTTTAGGTTAATGATATTTAGTGGGTGTTTGAGAACAGATTTTGAGCTTCCACTTCACCAAAAATACAACATTTTGACAATCGGTTTCAGGTTTCGGATTATGGCTTCAGAATCGCAAACCGAACTTTAGCATTGCTTTTGAGCAATGCTAGGGGTGATTTCCTCTTTTGACTTACCACTTTTGTTTTTCCAAGAAGTCATCATACCTTCAAACGCCCTCTAAGGCTATGTTATGTTCGCCATCTGATTTTTCAAATTTTTGATGATCTGATCTGGTCAGATTGTAATTATATTTAGAGTTGTTTCTCACCTGGTCTTGTTTGATCTGGTTTGATCTAATTTGGTTTTAATAAGAATTAGTTATAAGCTGAAAAAATAAGTTGAACGGAATGGGTCCTAAGTAAGTCAAAAGAATCACATTATTTTACTGAGTTACTTCTAGATCTTCCTCAATCCAAACGGAGTAGTGAAGTTCGGGTTTTTTTTTGGGAACTTTCGCGGTAAAAGTACAAAACCTTTGGGACTACAGGCAAATGGTATCCCTGTGGACGTGCTCAAAGCTCTGTGCAGTCTTCTTTGTTGCTGGAGTGTTTGTAGGCTACACCTTGAAGCGGCGTGTCCGTCTGTGGGCCTCCAAGCTGCTCAAGCGCTTGAAGGATTACTAACTTTCCCCATCAGTGTTATAGCCTGTGTTTCAAGTGGATAAGCATTTACATGTGCTTTGATGAATTTCAGGACTCAAGCTGTTATTTTTCTATAGAATTGTATTGCTAATTCTAGATCTGTTATTTCGACATTGAGATGAAAGTTAATTGGGAAGTTAATTGAGAGTCATTAACTTGTGGGATACATTGCTGCATTTACTGCCCAAAGCATCATAGAAAGGAAGAAGCAAGGGAAGTTTAATGTGTCATTTTCAATAGTCACTCTATCCGAAGTTTAAAAGTTGTACCTTGAGCAACCATGTTTTTTTGTTTTCAACTGGATGTAGTAGTTTGTTTTTAAAGCACGGATCACATTTTCGGCTACATTTGTGGGGCTGCGATTCTGCCATCTCACTATCGATTGATTAAAATGAATCAAATATATCCTCCAAATACATTTGTATATTCATTAGAAATGAGTATGGTGTAGTTGTTTTACCAAATAGGACTATAATTTACATATATGAATTGCTTGACTTTTGATCTATTAAAAAATCAGGAACAAAATACCAAATAAATATGGCACTGATATGTCCTCCTATATACTTGTTACACAATAAGTGTTTCTGTTCATTGCACACATGGTCTTACAAAAATTAGATCAACCGTCGACAAAAAACACTATTTTTTTGTGATGTGTGAGATATTTTGATAGTATATATGTATATGTGTGGCTCCGAACTGTGAGAATTTACATAAATTAATGCAATTAAAAGAGATGATGCATGCATTAGTTCCCAATGTTCAATGTTTCAAAAGCATTCCTTGTGGAACTCGAAGCGTGTTGTAGTCTTATACGTCAATTCTTGTGATAGCTTCTTCAATTCCTTTGCCAATACTGGCATCCCACAGTAAAAAACTCCTGTAGAAATGGGGGAACACATATCACTGTTATTTGTTCATAAATTATGTGCACTCTGTTTACACAAAAATGGCCATTCAGCAATTCAATGATCTTAAACATAGAAAAATGACCAAGTTGACCTCTCAAAATTTTTTCACTTTTACTTGTTATACCCTATGTAACTTTTTAATGTTCCCACTTCGATTTTTCCCCCTAGTTTTAGAAAAATGAAATTGTGTGGTTTTTAAGTTTTATGGGCCATACATTTATTTCCTAGATGAGAAATGGAAGAATTAATTGGAACATCACAAAAAGGAAGGTGGGAACGTTAAATATGGATGAGGGGGTTGCTTTTTATACCTAAAAATAAACATTGCATGTTTTCCATGCAATTTTTGCCTCTATCTTGTGAACTTATAGTCTTATACACGTGATCTTTAAGTATAAGTGTCACAAATTTTCTTCCTTTTCAGTGTGCTTCTTGTTCTTGCACATATCTTATACCATGTCCCTAAAAAAAGGCCTTATTTGTAATATTGATTTCAAGAATTACAAACATGGGTAAAGGAGGTGGTATATTTTCATTCATAGCAGTTTTTTCCTTAAAGCATGTACATGTCCTTTTAACGGTTGCAAGTATTTAGACAACTGCCCTTTAGTTTTGGTGATGATGTTTTTATAACTTTCACGGCTTTTAAGTTTTGTGATTTCCTTTTTTTTAAAGAAGCAATTTTGCTTCCTGTGCTGATTGTTTGCTGGCGCAGGTACATTGTAATTTTAGAACTTTGTTTAAATAAGAAAGGAGGTATGGTTATTGTGTCAAGGTCATTACCTACTGTAGAATGAGGATGCTTTGAAGCTATTTTACTGAATTCTTCATTCCAATTTGGGCGTGCAAAATGTGTCCTGACCTGCAAAATTTAATGTTTTGTTAGAATATTGGAAGAAAATTTACCTCATCCTTTCAGTGAATTTTCTATTTTCAAATATAATTAATTTGTTTAAGAGAATTTATGCACCATACCCTGGTACCCGAGAGGATATCAACACCGTGTTTTGCATGGTTAAGTGCTTGGACCATAGTAATGAGTGTTGACCTGGCATCGCCTTCTTCATAAACACTTGTTAGATAATTGTGCATATCTATCTGATCCTGGTTATCATGGTCATCAAGGGAAAAAAAGAATTAACAAAATGATTTCATGATATTTGAGCATAAAGAAAGGTAGATGAGAGTAAGTTCATGATTAAGCATTAATTACTTTGTGATCCATCTCTGCAACTTCATTCATCACTCCTTTGAACCACTCAAATGATCCAGGTTCTCTTGTTACCCAATAGAAATGTGCCCTTTTGGTCTTTCGGGTTTCCTTCTTTACGGTTGATGCTATACTTGAAGAACCAAAACTTGTCCAGCTGTCATCTGATGCACTGGTTTCTGTATTTGAATCCTACGGCACCATAAGGAGAACGGAAATATTACGTTTTAGCGTAACTCTGTACTTTGTAGGGTTGAATATATTTTCCGTGCATTTTTTTCTTCCCTTCAAAATATTTTTATGGTATTCTATTCCGGTAATTTATGTCTTATTCTTTTCTGAAGGGACTGAAAAAAGCACTATGTTTTATTGGATAAAAAGCATACTTAATTCTAAATTGTATTACCACCAACAACATTAGTGCAAACAAAAGGTACCGTTTGATCTTCTGTTCTCGAATGGTTTAGTAGGTCCCTAAGGATACTTATGAAGGGTGTAGCTCCAATACCAAGTCCTACAAGAAGCAACACATCATAGCTATGGTAGTCCTGTGCAGGGGCACCATATGGTCCATCAACCAGCAATCGGGGTAAGCTGCAAATAAGTCACCTTTCCTCAGAGTCCTACCTTTAAATTATGCAATGTTTGAGAAAAACTATCATTTATATGTCATTACACTCGTTGATTAACATTGCCGAGTTCTCCAAACTTTGCTCGACCAATCTCGCACACTGAGCCTGCATCCTCTGTGTAGACTTTCTTAAGCTCTTTCGTCCAGTCTCCTACAGTACGAATGTGAATACTAAGGTTGTCATCGTCTGGTGCTGATGTTATCGAAAATGGATGCCTGATAAAGAAAAGTGTTGGTTTATATTTTTTAGGTGAAATTTACAACTGTCCTAAATGAGATGGTTGATGTATACCATTCAAATGGGGATATTATAGGGCACTGCAAGAATATGTACTGCCCACTCTTGTAATTGAAACCATTTGGCTTTGCCATAACCAAACTGAAGACATCTCCTGGAAGTACGGAAACCTGTATGGATAAAAAAGCTTAATGGTTGGTGCCTTTTTTCTGTTTCCTCTATCTTTTTCCCCAAAATGCTTTACTAACATGTGCTTATATTTGAAGAATGATCAGTAGAATTACTCAGAATGCAAAACTTATCTATTTGTGTGCAGGTGAGAGAACATTTTTTTTGTTGACACTTGATAGAAGGTAGTGAGTTCTGGTGATTGGAGGTCAATGGTGTCCTTTGTTTTGGGTATTAGTCCTTTTGGGAGTGTGGTGTTGCAAATGAATCTCTACCATCCTAAACCTTCATTTCCAGTATAATTTATTCCACTTAAGATGTTAGCACATATTACCTTTAGTATTTTAACTGCATAGTGTTCTGCTCGACATGTTCTCAAACTCCGCTCGGCTACATATAAGATCAGAGGAATAGATATGTACATCCACGTCTGTATGAGTAAAGAGTTGACATGTCAATTTTACTATCCTAAATATAGAACATGCAATGTCTGATATTTGCACCTAGGGTATGTTTGTTCTAGTTTTAGACGTGGTATGATTGTATGAGAGGTTTGGGATGGAAAAAAACATGTGGGTCATCCCACATTTGTTCTAATTTCCAATTTCACCCCTTTTGCTTTGTTCTCCTTATATGTTTATATTCAAATATAATGGTCTGTTTGTTGTATTATAAATGATCTCACTTCCATCTTTTTTCTCTCTTCCCAATTTCTTCTCTCAACAAAACATTTGTATTTTTCAATATATATTTGCAAAAAAACAGGTAAATGCAGCACTCCATATTTATTGTTATTACCGTCTTATTCTGCCATCTGTGGACCAGGAACAGGAAATTTCCATGTACTAGAAGTAGTACATACACTAGAGCAAGAAGGTGGTGAGAATACCAGAAGGCATTAAAGCCTGTTAATCGGTGCAGAGGTGGTGGTAGGTTCAAGATATTTCTCCTGAATTGCCTTGTGGCTAATGTGAAGGAAACCACCATTAAAACCACCATCAGTATGCCAGTCACGCCTTCGGCACCAGTCAAAACACTTCTGTAAGTGGGCCTAACTCCATTAAAATCTGCTGCTATAAGTGCAAATTTCTCTGTTGATGAGTTAATTAGACGAGGGAAATCACATGCTAAATGATTTCCTGCGTGGAGTACGATTCCAACTGCTATGGCATATGCTATAATCTGTAAGACATAGCACCTCTTGTCAATTTCCTGATCGTTTATAAAGATTCTATTTTAATTTAAAATTTAACTAATCTTAACATAAAAACGTAGTCAATAAGGCTAAGGAATTCATCTCTTATATGATGTGTGATATTTTGACAAGTCCCTCGAATGGACAACATGTACGCAACCTTAGTCCTGTAAGAAAACAGATTTTGTTCGACCCTTGATGCATTTACTGACCAAGACTTGATGGAAAGTAGGAAGCAAGGGAAGTTTAATTATCCCTTTTGGTTTAGTCAAGTATATACCCAAAGCAAAACCCTCGTCAAAGTGACTTCCAAGGCTCCGTCGGCAATGGCAGTACTATGCCCTGATACTATTTTGTATTTCAATGCTCCCAACAATATTTAAGAGTTGGAGTCTAAGTCTCTATTGTAAGACATAGACAATAAAGCTAGTAAGTTCATCTCTTTATATGATTTTTTATATCCGAGGAGTAAGCAGAGTAGATAAACAAATCTCACCTTATGGAAATTAATATTGTCATCAAAAGGGATGAGTAGCCTTGCTTTTGTAGATCGTAACCATGTCAATATGTTTCGACAAACTGGTAAAAGGATGAGAGCCATGTTGAACTTGAGTGTCTCTGCGGCACCTTTAGCTGTCGGCAAGCAGTAACCCATTATTTGGAAAGCTGCCTTTTGCCTATACTGTTGGAATTTCCATGTGAAAAGCCCAACCATGGCAATCAGCCATAGCAGTAGGATCCAGCCTCTTTGCCAGTTCTCTAGTACAAGACACTTGAGTGCACACCTTGCTCTCTTTATTATACTCTTAGAATTTTGTGGCCCTATTTTTGGAGTCTTTCCTACACTTGCTGTGCTCAGTTGTCTACTGTATTTCATATATCTATCCCTTTGCAGTAGTAGTGTTTCCAACTGCCATAACTGAAACAAGATTAGAGTTACTTTCATCACACTGAAAGGGTAACT